TGTCCATGGAGCACCTTCTTGATTGTTGAGTGTTGTGGGAGGGCCCAGCCCACTGTGGGTGGTGCCACCCCTGGGCAGATGGGCCTATGTTGCATAACAAAGCAGGCTGAGTAGGGGCCAGAGGAGCAAGCCAGTAAGCAGCATTCCTCAATGCCTTGTGCTCCAGCTCCTGCTTCCAGGTTCCTGCCCTGAGTTCCTACCTTGGTCTCCCTGATGAACTGTGACCCGGGAGATGTAAGATAAAATAAACCCTTTCCTCCCCAAGTTGGTAGTGGTCAGAGTATTTTGTCACAGCAATGGAGAGACAAACTAGGACACCTGGTTTATAACTTCTTTTTAAAAAAGGGTTTTTTTTACTATTTTTATTTTATGTGTATGAGTGTTTTGCCTGCATGTATATAAGTGCATCATGTGTGTGCAGTGCTGAAGAGGTCAGATTCCCTGGAACTGGAGTTATAGACTGAGCCATCTCTCCAGCCCCACTGTTAGTGTTTGAGCTCCTTCCATTCTGTGGAATGGTAGGTTGTTGTATTGATTGTACTCCAGAGTTCTTGGATATTGTGGTCATGCTCATTTATTATTATGTTTTCTTTATTGTTACTTTTTTTTTTTTTTTGAGACAATCTTGTGTAGTTCATGCTAGCCTTGAATTTGCTGTGTAGCTGAGGATAGCCTTAAACTTCTGATCCTTCATCCATGTACTGAGATAGGTGTCTGCCACCACTCCTGGCTTATGCTGGTTGGGGATTAAAGCCAGGGCTTCAGGCATGGAAAGCAGACACTGTCAAATGAGCTACATCCCCACGCTCTTTGCTGGTACTTGAATGCAGTATTTTGTCAAATTTATCTCTATTCCTAACACTCTTTGTTTTACTTAGTTGAATCTATTGATGATATTTTTTCACTGTTTTTTATTTGATTCATCTGACTTTTCATTTCCAGAATGTTTTTTTTCCCCAAATCTCAATTTCCTTGCAAAATTAGATGAATGTATGAGGTGGATTAACAAAAAAGTGTAGAAAAAAAGAAAAGAAAAATCCCATGAAAGTGGGGGGAAAAAGATGAGGTATTGGAGCAGCTTCTTTCTGGTGTCAAAAGACAGGTAGTTATGTGCATGAAAAGGGAGGTAGTTAAACTCTTGTCTTTCCTGTGGTTTATGTTGCTGAGTTGGACAAGTGATGCCTGCTGGTGTTTTTGCAGTGGCTGATTTCCTTCTTGGCCTGAAGGGCCCTCTCTGGCCACACTTAGTTTTCCATGCTGTGGATTAGGCAGGTTCTCTCACCCTCCTGAGACTCCCCAGTTCATACTCTCTCCCCTTCCCCCTTTCTCTGCCTGCCCCTCTCCCTCCCTCCCTCTGACGAATTCTCCTGGGTATCCCAGGCTGGCCTGAAACTTGGAATCTTCCTGCTTCCGCTTCCTGAATGCTGGTGTTACTGGTGGTGGCAACACACTCAATTCACACTTCGTTTTCTTGATTTCCTCCCTGTCTTCCTTTAGTTCGGAGTATTTTTAAGACTGTTGTTTTAAATTTTCTATCTACTGTATTTGCCCTCTGCTCTTTCTTGAGCACTTTCTGTTGATTTGCTTCTTTCTATTGAATGGGCCAGCACTTTCTTGTCTCTCTCTGTCTTGTGATTTTTTTGTGTGTTGAAAACTTGGCATTTGAATTTTTGAATCTGGAAGTATCACTGGAATCAGCTTCTCTCTTCCCAGCATTTGATATTACTGTTTTGTTGTTTTAGGCAGCTTCTGTGGCAAGGATCAGCCTGAAGTGTGAACCTGAGATTTGCTCAGGTCTTTTCTGAGCCTGCATAGTCACCATTTGTCTTTTCCTCTGTATATGAGGTGGTTTAATGTCCTAGCCTTAAATATCTGGCTCTAAAATAGGGGTGGGGAGAGGGAAGAAAGGTGCTCGCAAATTAGATCCCCTAGCTGTCACTTCAGCCGCTGGAGGGTGTATAGCAGTGGCCACTGCCTCTGTCTTGAGAAACAGCAGTCAGAACCCAGGTCCCCAGTCTCTGGAGGACGGCGTCCTTTTTGCCCACCGGGCTCCTGTAAGCTATTGCTACCAGCCAGCTGCTCCAGGAACCCCTGTACAACTTCTTGCCCTGGGGCTTAGTGGGTGACTGCTAGAGTGTTTACCGCTAAAACTGACTATAATTCAATGATAGTTTACCACCCTAAGTATCCCTCTTGAATTTATAAACCCTCAATAGACTCCAGAGTTCCAAACTAGTTACATTAGACAGATTCTACCTATGTATAGGTACTGGGGAGACTAATTCCTGGCATTTCCTCTTCAGCCATCTTCCCAGAATTATTCTCTACTCAGATTTTTGGGCGGGCAGTGAGGTGGGGAAAGCCTGGGATTAGATTTACATGGCCTTATGCATGTCTACAAATAATCCACACCAGCTCGCAATATTTTTAAGCTGGGCCATTGGTATTTTGCCCAAACTGGTCTTGAAATTTCTGGGCTTAAGCAATCCTTTTACCTTAACCTACTCAGAGTTGCTGGGACTACAGGTTTGTGCTACCCTACCGTGTCTGTCTGTCTGTCTGCTTCCTCCTTCCTCCTCCCCTCTTCCTCTCCTCCCCCTCTCCTTCCACCTCTCCACACACACACAACAAATATATATATATATGAGGTAGAGTGCTGAGGATGAAGCCTAAGGCCTTGTACATTCCAGGCAAGAGCTTTGTCAGTGAGTTATACTCACCTACCCCTCTACTCAGCTTTATGAAACAAATGTATAATTTTCAAATGTGAGCGCCTGCATTATTACCAGTAACTCTGGTCCATGTGGTCCTTAGTATGCTAATAGGTACCTGAGGAAGATTCTCTATTTTTCCATCTCCTGACCCACTGCTTCTTTGGACCTAGTCTATCTCCAGTTTAGCTGTTTTAATAAGTGGAACACTTGCAGTCATTCCTTTCCAGAGCTATTACTGCCTTATTTCAGCTTCTCTGGAATTACTCTGGGATTCTCTTACATTTTGTCTGTCATTTTTACCTTCCAAACTTAATAAAAAGTAGGCAACAAGAAATAAGCATATCTCAAAGGACTCATGCTCCTAAATCAGTCACAGTCCTTGGGGTGAGGTACTCAAGAGTTTTATTAAGGAAGGGGGAAGGTAGTGGGCGTGGTAGAGCACACTTTCAGACCCAGCACTTGGGGAGGCAGAGGCGGGCAGCCTGGTCTACATAGTTTGTTCCAAGCCAGCCAGGGCTACATAGTTTGAGGCCAGCCTGGTCTACGTAGCAACTTCCAGGCCAGCCAGGGCTACATAGTGAGACCCTGCCTCAATAAAAAAACAGAAAAAGGTGTGTGTGTGTGTGTGTGTGTGTGTGTGTGTACTATTATTAAGAATCTGATATAATTAGGAGATTCAAGAAAACAAGTATCCGCCATTTGGTATTCATGGAATGGAAAGTTTAAAGTTTCATAATACAAAGTGCTGGAGATTTAGAGCAGTATGAATATTTGACTAAGAAGACTACCTTGGAGAGTGTATCTGTCTATAGGTTATACATCCTGGAAAAACTTTTGAAGAGGTATTCCAGAAGTTGCCCTTAGGAATGTTCATAGCAACATTGTTTAGGATGTGTACAAGTTGAAACTGCCTGTTAATGAGTACAGAGGTAACTTGGAATGTGCTCACAAATGCAATTCTCTGCAAAATCAAAATGCAGTGGAGGTAAAGCTTGCAAATATGATGGTGGGAAGGTGAATAAATGGAATGCAGGGCCATTTTAAATGTTTAAAAATGGGCTGGAGAGATAGCTCAGTGGTTAAAGAGCTTGTTGCTCTTCTAGAGGTCAAGCGTTCAGTTCTCAGCACCCATATCAGCTTAAAACTGCCTGTAACCCAGTTCCAGGGGATCCAGCATTCTCTTCTGCTCTCCTTGGGAACCCACATGAACAAGGCATACACACACAAACATAAACATATAAATATAAATTTTTTAAAAAATTAAGCTTAAAAACAGCCCAGGTGAATGTAGATGCCATTTAGGGTTCCTTAGGTGTGTGGTTCAGGTGTAAGGAAGGGCACTGTGGATAGCTCAGCCCAAGGTCATTTTGGAGACAGGGTGCCTCCCCAGCATAAGAGGAGTCCTGTTGTTATTTTTTGTCTTTTTTGAGACAGGGTCTCCCTGTAGCCCTAACTGTCCTGGAACTCATTAGGTAGGCCAGGCTGGCCTCAAACTCAGAGATTCCCCTACTCTGCCTCCCAAGTGCTGGAATTTAAGGCACACACCACCACGCCTGGCTCTTATTATTACTATTTCATAGATCTGAAATGTTATATGCCTTTTTTCTTTTAAAGATTTATTTTACATGTATGTGTAAGTGCCTTTATGTATATAAGTGTACCGTGTGTGTGCCTGGTGCCCACAGAAGCCAGAAGAGGGTGTTGGATCCCTGGAACTGGAGTTACAGATGGTTGTGAGCCACTGTGTAGGTGCTGGGAACTGAACCTGTGTCCTTTCTAAGAGCAGCAAATGCTTTTTAACCACTGAGTCATTTCTCTAGTTCTCCCTTTTTTTTTTTTTTTTTTTTTCGGAGACAGAGTCTCATTATGTAGCCGTGGCTGACTTGGAGCTTACTCTGTGCCAGGCTGGCCTTGAACTCATGGAGACCTGCCTGCTTCTGCCTCCTAAGTCCTGGGGTTAAAAGTGTGAACCACTGTACCTAGCCTGTCATAGGCCTTTTAAATAAGATTAAAATAATATCTTAAGTATTTTCTGTAAACCTGTTTGAATATTTGACTTTTTTTTAAATTCTAGGTGGACAGACTGGAAGTTATCAATAAACGTTTTGTTCGTGTGACCTTTACACCAGGAAAAACTCCAGTTGATGTGGTAAATAGTTTTATTAATTGTTTGTTTTGGGGTTTTTTTTTTTTTTCAAATTTAGAATGAAAAAGAAAACATCTCTTGCATTATAGTAGATATGTACGTTGGGGACCATGGAATTGGGCCAGGCATCAGGTGTAATCGTTGACATTAGTATGTGCATGTGATGATTCAGGGATAGAATTCAATATCTTGTTTTGAGTTCAGTGTATTCATTTTAGTTTTGCATTTGGGAAACAGTGACTAAGAGCTCAGTTTTTAGTATTCCAGAAGAGGACTAAGAAACAGTTTTTATTTTTTTTGGTTAGGGGGAAAAATGTTAAAATTTGAAGAATTATTTCTGTTTTGAGGCAGTTTCTTTGAAATTAGTTTAGGATTCTTTCTGTTCATTGTTCTCCATCCTCAACCTTTTTGTGATAATCCATTTGTTTTCCTGGTTATTTATTTGAGACAGGGCCTCTCTGTAACCCAAACTGGCCTTGAATTCTTGGCAGACTTCATTCTCTTCCCCCTGCCTCCAAGGGTATAGGTGTAAACCATTACACCTAGCTTTACTAGTTTTTCAGTGATTTGTATTTCTTGTCCAGCCAGTTTGGACCCAGCAGTTTGTTTTAGTGTGAAACCCAGTACACCAACTAAAGACATAGCAGAAGTGTCAGATGCATTGAGAAGGCTAGGAAGAGGGGAGCAGAGGTTCCCAGGTGATACCAACCCTTCCCTATTCTGACCCTATCCCCACCCCCAGTTCTTCAGTGTTCTGCAGTCCCATTACCCTTTGCCAAGGGCAGGCTTTTCTACCAGGCTGCTCCCATTTTCTAGCCATCCTGCCTGGACAAAGCAATATTTAAAGGAAAACTAGTAGTGGTGGTAACTTTCTCTGTTTAATTAATCCATGAGCAGATATAGGATAGCTGTAAAGTCATCTTGCTCTGGCATTTCCATCATTTAAAAACATTATTTTCAGCTGGGCTTGGTGGCGCACGCCTTTAATCATAGCACTCCGGAGGCAGAAGCAGGTGGATCTCTATGAGATGGAGACCAATCTGGTCTACATAGTGAGTTCCAAGCCAGTTGGGGCTACAGGGAGATACTGCCTCACAAAGACCAAAAAAGAAAGTTATTTTCACTCTCTTGGTTTCTCTCCATTCTCTCCGAGACCTTATGTCAATGAATCACCATGCTCCTCAGATGTTTAGTGCTGGGAATAAATTAGCAGTCTCTCTTGAGAGAACAGACTCATACTGTATATTCCAGCAGTTTTGACAGTATGCTTATTGGGGCTGGAGTTGTAGCTTAGCAAGGCCTGGGTATGATCCCAACGCTACACACACACAAAGTTTGTATGTACATGCCAAGTAGTTTTTGCTTGTGGGAATATGGCCTAGGATGCAATTAATGGTGCGTGTAGAGATATTTGTTCAAAGATACCCTTCAATACATTATATATCAAAAAACTACAGATTAATCAGTGATCCATACCAAGTACCTAGTTATCATTGGGGATCATCCTTCTCCTGTCAGGTTTCATCCTCTAAGTACTATCCTGTGGTACTATCTCCAGAGGACAGCTGTGGTACTAGAAGGGCCCTTGTTTTCAGTATTCACATGCACATCTACATACGGAAATTCATACCATTGTATTATAATTCTTATTGCTTCATTATGTCCCAGTTAAAGTATATAAGAAATATGTAGGTTATTTTCAGATATTTCATAGAAGGGACTTGAACATCTTCAGAGTTGGGTCTCCATGCTGGGTTTTAGAACCAGTTCCCCAGAATTCCTGAGGGATGATTACATTTTCCCTAGGGCCTTCAGGATACCCCCTCTCCTACCCCCTCCCCCAGCTCTAGGTACTGGAAGGGTAATTAATGCTCAATATAACGTAGTACTTCTGGTACCTTTCTACTGGTCAAATTGATTTTTACCTCTGATCCCAGATCCTAGGTCATAGGATGATTCTCAAGACTGAATGAATTAATGTAACACACATCAAGGACATAGAACACTGCCTCACAGTAACTAGGCACCCAGTACATGAGCTATTGTTGTCTACCGCACTAGGTTTTAGTTTGGAAATAGGCCACGGGGAAATGGACAAGAAGAAAAGAATACTTGTCTACAAAAAGGATTTTTCAAGTAGTTTTTTTTTATGCTGCTGTTCTTTTGAGTTTAATTTTTGAGTCAATGAAGAATATTGCTAAGGAAATACTGCCAAGGTTTGCCACGTATTCTCACAGAGTCAAAAATCACCATGTCTGTAGAACCAGACTTTTATTGTTGTTGTTGTTTTTTATTTGTGTTTAGTATTTCTGAAAAATTGAAAGTTTTGTTTATACTTCATTCTTAGGATATTTGTTTTTCTGTTTTTATAGCAATACGTCTGGTTTAATATTGGCAGCGTAGACACCTTTGAACGGAATCTGGAGACTTTGCAGCAGGAATTGGGCATAGAAGGGGAAAACCGGGTACCTGTGGTCTACATTGCTGAAAGTGATGGGTAAGAAGTCATTTTAAAATATTTTATCTGTTTATGTATATGAGTGTATTTCCTGCATGTCCGTGAGTGTACCCGTGTTGTGCAATGCTGCGGAGATCAGAAGAGGGCTTCAGAGTCCCCTGGAACTGGAGGTAAGGATGGTTCGTAACCGCCATGTGGGTGCTGGGAATTGAATCCGGGTCCTCTTCAAGAGCAGTCAGTGCTCTTAACTGCTGAGCCATGTCTCTAGCCCCAAGAAGTCATTTTAAATGTGTAATTTGTACTGGATGTGGTGGCACCTGACTATAATCCCAGCACTTGGGAGACTGAAGCAAGAGGATTACCATGAGTTCAAGGCCAGCCTGGGGTATGTAGCAAGACTGTTTCTAAAAAAGCTGAAAAGTAAAGAAATAATTTTAAAAAATACTTGAATACTGTTTACTGTGCTGTACATGGTCCGCTGTCCTTTGTTACCAGGTAGCAGGGTTAAAAAGAGTCTCAAACAGTCCTTGCTCAGTTTGGCCAGATTGATAAACAAATTATTAGTAATTAATTTTTGCACATGATGTCCCCGTTTTCTAAACAATTGTGTTTATTGTGATTAAGCTGGGTTTAGAGTACTATCCAGTGTTCTGTCCTTACAGGGTTTTAGTATGAAGAGTCCTTGCATGAAGGTGTGGTATTTACACCTTTAAGTCCCCTTTATATTTCGTAGTTTTCCAGGATTTAAGAAATACTTCCTGGAACAGATAAGCTGACTAGACCTCAGCAGATGAACTTGCACTGAGGGACTTCTGGGGACACTAACTTGACATGATAGGCCTTAACACAAATGAAAGAATGTATGAATGCCAGTGGGGAAGGGGGTATAAAGATGATTAAGATGTTCTGTATGAAATACACAAAAATTCAATAAAAATATTTAAAAATAAATACATTTAGAAAAAAAGAAATACTTCCTCTGTCGTCAGAACTGCTTCTCTTTGGATTTATCGTAATAACTCTAGTTAAAATCTGGACAGGCACTTGTATATTTTGAGGATGTCTGGGCTGGGGATGTAGCTCTTTGGAAGACTACTTGTCTAGCACTGGGGAGGTGCTGGGTTCCAGCCCTTGGCAGTTACCTCATTTTTCATTAAATGCAGAGGGTTTATCTTCTGTAGTGAAGCTAGGATTAAATTTATTTTTCTGTATTTGTAAGAACAAAAACTAACTTAGGAGCCAGTGTATTAATTACGCTGATGTTATTACTCATATTTAGGGATTTCTGGAGTTGGGTTCTGTGGACTCATGTTCTGTCACATAGCTGATATGATGGTTTCACATAAGGTACTTCCTGAGGGTCCAAGATGGTTACTTAATTTTAAAAGCAGCTGTAGGCTTTATAGATTGGTGTTATCCAGGTTGAATATCCCTTATTTTGTATGCTTGGAGCCAGACATGTTTTCAGATTTTGAAATGTCAGCATAGACTTTACTGATTGAGCATCCCTAGTCCAAAAATTGAAATTGAAATTTCTCTAAGATCCAAAACTTTTTGAACGTATCTTGGCACTGAAAGGTGGAAATTTTCAAGCATTTCAGATTTTGTATTTTTAAAATACTTTGTTATTTTTATTTTATTTGTATAGAGTGTATTGCCTGCATGTAGGCAAGTGCACTCATGTTGTACAATGCCCACGGAGGACAGAAGAGGCCATTGGATCCCCTGTAACTAGAGTTACGGACAGTTGTTAGCTGCCATGTGGGTGCTGGGATTCAAACCCAGGTCTTCTGAGAACAACCAGTGTTCTTAACCGCTGAGCCATCTCTCCAGCCCCCAGATGTTGTATTTTTAGATTTGGGATGCTTATAACCTATAAAATTTTTTAGGGCACTATTCAGTAAGCCTATTTTTAGTGCAGGGTTTTTTTCCCCCTCCCTCCAGAAATAGTTCTTACTGCTTTCTGTAACTGCATTGAAAAATAATAGGTAAAAAACATGTCTATACCCATAGTTATACTGAAATAAAGGTTATTAGGACAAATGGTAGAATGCATCCCTAGGTTTTGAGTCATCCATGCAGGCACCATATTGGAGGGCTTCTGCTGGAAGAGAGCCTCAGAGTCCATTGAACATGAATGGCCTATGTAGCGTCAGGCCGGAGGTATTAAGCATGGTGTGCATTACTTTCCAAATTGGCATGCTTTTAAATTGCCAAGAATTTGATACTAGAGACATTTTTTGAGATTGAGGCATCCCAGTGAGGGAACTGGACTTTCAACCTGGACGAACACTAGAGTCCTGCCAGGATTCTCCTGTACCTCAGATAAAATATTGGAATATTTCAATTTTTGAAAAAAATTTAAATGTTTGTTTGCTCCTATATCTGAAGCAGTTAGAAAAAAGTCATTCTTGCCTGAAAGCCATGATGTTGTGTGTTGCCCTTCAGCTCCTTTCTCCTGAGCATGTTGCCCACGATGCTCATCATCGCTTTTCTACTCTACACCATCAGAAGAGGGCCTGCTGGCATTGGTCGAGGTGGCCGGGGAATGGGTGGACTCTTCAGTGTTGGGGAAACCACTGCCAAGGTCTTAAAGGATGAGATAGATGTGAAGTTCAAAGATGTGGCTGGCTGTGAGGAGGCCAAGCTAGAAATAATGGAATTCGTGAATTTCTTGAAAAACCCAAAGCAGTATCAAGACCTAGGAGCAAAAATCCCAAAGGTAAAAATATATTTTGAGAATAACTTCAGAACTTTTGAGGTACTTCTTGGTCTCTGAAACGTCACCTTGTGAACTCTGATTACTTATTTAAGTAGCTGTTTCTCAACTTTGTTTCTGCCTAACTCAATCCTTTGTCATCTGTTTTCTGTATCTCCTTTTATAAATTTTGTGTATTTCTGAAAATGTTAATTTTTCTCTTCTCATAAAAATCTTCCTTGATTGGCCTTTGTTCTCCCTCTGGTCTGATTTAGACAACCCACTCCCTTGGTAGCTGTAGCCCCAAGTAGCATAGAATATACTAGTGGCCCAGTGGTTAAGAGTACTTGATGTACTTTCAGAGGACCTGAGCTTGGTTCCTAGTACCCACATCAAGGGGCTCACAACCACCTGTAACTCTAATCTGATGCCTTATTCTAGCCTCCGGAGTTACCTGCACATAGGTGCACAGAATGATGGGCCATCTGTTGATACCTGGTACTGAGGGGTTTGATGACAGTCAGCACTGATGTTCACCTTCCCTCCCTCTAGCACATATTTCATAGCTGCTATGCTAGTGCTGGACCTGTACCATGTTAGGCTTTGTGCCTTTGGACTAGACACAAAGTAGAAAGTTGCTATTTGTTGAATGAATTCATAACCCTGCTCCCTGTTTTTACTGGAGAGTGAGCCCAGCAGCTTGTGCATGCCAGTCAACTCCCCAAGCAATAGGTACTCCAGCCTTCTTTTGACTTCTGACTTTGAGACAGTCTCATTAAGTTACCCTAGGCTGGCCTTGAGTTTGCTCTGTAGTCCAGCCAGCCTTGAATTTGTGATCCTCCTGCCTCAGCCTTCCCGATTCCTGGGATTATAAATCTATGCCACCAGGCCTAGCTTGGATTAGCCATTAAGTAGATGCGTAATTTACTGATAAAGTTTATTTATTTATTTTTGGTCTTTTGGCGGGGGGTGGGGGGGGTTCTTTTTGAGACGGGATCTCCCTGTAGCCCCAGCTGTCCTGGAACTCACTATGTAGACCAGGCTGGCCTTGAACTGGATCTCTCTGTAACCCCTGCTGGCCTGGAACTTTCTATGTAGGCCAGGCTGGCCTTGAACTCACAGCGTTCCACCTGCCTCTGCCTCCAGAGTGCTGGGATTAAAGGCATGCGCCACCATGTCCGGCTTGATAAAGTTTACTTTAAAGAAATACTTTGGGGCCGAAGAGATGGCTCAGTGGTTAAGAGTACTTGATGTACTTTCAGAGGACCTGAGCCTGGTTCCTAGTACCCACATCAGGGGGCTCACAACCACCTGTAACTCTAATCGGATGCCTTATTCTAGCCTCCAGAGTTACCTGCACATAGGTGCACAGACACACACATACACATAAATAGTAAAATATTTTTTTAAAAGAAATCCTTTGTAAAGGGAATCATTTCCCTGTTTTTCATATCCTGTCTGTGTGGACAAAAAAAATTCCATTCATGATTACATAATTTGCTATTAGTATCTATTCACATCCTACCTAAGGCAGATGAAAATAAGCTTTAAAAAATACCTTAGTGTTGTATTACAGTCTTGAAAGATGTATCTTTTTACTATATTATCCATCTCCACATACAATAATTAGAAATAGGGTCATATGTCTATTTATAAGACAGAACATTTACAGCTAGTCACTTAATGGAAAGTTAATGTTAGAGTGAATAGGTTAGATCTTAAGATAGACATGTATCTATGCTAAACATTTACTGACTTATACATGAAAGTAAAAGCCTGTGGTTGTATTTATTATCTGAATTCAAAAACCAGTTTTACTTATACACAGTAAGAGACTTATAAATCAGGATTGTAGTGTTCGTATCTCTTTTAATTTTAAGTTAACAGTTTATTAGAGCATAACTGAAGTCTCTTTATATTATTAGAATGAAAACTTAACACTTAAAGACTCTTTTTTTTTTTTTTTTGGTCTTTTTGAGACAGGGTCTCCCTGTAGCCCCAGCTGTCCTGGAACTCACTATGTAGACCAGGCTGTTTTGGGGATGAAACCCAGAGCTTTGTACATGCTAGCCAGTGTTTTACACTGAACTATGTCCCCAGGCCAACACTAAATATCTTATAGAAGTAGTATTTAAGATTTCACATCATATTCTTAATGAACATTTGAAACAGAATTGTCTCTAATAGTCCTTTTCTTAAATTTACTCTATAAAAATGTTCTGCCATAATTTAAGAAATATTCAAGGTTTATTAATAAGATTTAAAGACAGAGTTTCACCTTGAAATTACCGTGGATGAGCAATTTACCTTTTCAAAGTTCTGATTAGATGTTATCTTTCCTTTTGTTTCTGAAGGGTGCCATTCTCACTGGTCCCCCAGGTACTGGGAAGACACTGCTAGCTAAGGCCACAGCTGGAGAAGCCAATGTCCCTTTCATCACTGTTAGCGGATCCGAGTTTCTGGAAATGTTTGTTGGTGTTGGTCCAGCTAGAGTAAGTCTTGTTCTGTTTTGATGCAACTTCTTTATTACAGACTAGGCCCCTGGACAACACTGGTGAAGATGGCGATGTTCCCTAGAATGTGCAGAATGACCTCACACTGGTCACCTCCTAGAGCAAGGTTAAACCTGAAGCAAGGCTAAATTCCAGCAGGACTCCTGTGATTCCATCATCTTCTCCCACCTGAGCCAGGATTGCAGTCCATTACTTAAGATAATTCTAAGCCAGGTATGGTGGCATACACCTTTAATCTCAACATTTGGGAAGCAGAGGCAGGAGGGTCTCTGTAAGTTTGAGGCCAGCCTGGTCTACATAGTTCCAGAAGAGCCAGGTCTACATAGACGGTCTCAAAAAGCAAAAAGCGAAACAAGCAAAAAAACCAGAAAAGAAGATAATTCTAATTGACGTATTTCAAGAAGTGGCTTTACTTTATGAATAATTCCTTTTGGTAGCAGCTTTATTTATTTATTTTTTTTCCTTTTTGGTCTTTTTTTGAGACAGGGTCTCCCTGTAGCCCTAGCTGACCTGGAACTTGCTTTGTAGACTGGCCTTGAACTCAGAGAGATCTTTCTGCCTCTGCCTCTGCCTCCTGAGTGATGGGATTAAAGGTGTGTGCCACCATGCCTGGCTTTATAACTGACATGCTGTATTAAAGGTACAGTTAAATACTTTTTAGGTATATTCATAGATCTATGTAATTATCATACAATTAATGATACATTTTTGTTGCTTTAAGAAGAAACTCAGGGCTGGAGAGATGACTCGGCAGTTAAGAGCACTGACTGCTCTTATAGAGGACCTGGGTTCGATTCCCAGCACCCACATGACAGCTATGAACTGTCCTTAACTCCAGTTCCAGAAGAATCCAAAGCCCTCTTCTGACCTCCGTGGCATTGCACGACACGGGTGCACTCACATACATGCAGGCAATACACTCATACACATAAAATAAAAATAATAAAATACTAAAAAAAAAAAAACCTCAGGTCCTTTAACAATCACCCTACTCTCCTTCTGTATTCCCAGCTCTAAGCAAAATCTAATGTCTACAGATTTCCTGTTGCAGACGTTTAAAGTAAATGGAATTGTATAGTACATGATCTTTGTTTTGTGTTTTTAAGATGGGATCAAGTGGTTTTCCTGCATCAGCCTCCTGAGTAACTTGGGCCACAGCATGCACTACTACACTCCATAATACGTGGTCTTTTATGCTTTTCTTTCCTCACTTAGCATAATGTTTCCCATTACCCCTAGAATTTTCCAAAGTATTTATGCCGTTTTACATTTCCACTAGCAGTAAATGAAGTTCCTCACCAACTCTTGTCTTGACTTTTTCATTATAGCCATCATAGTGAATTCAATAAGTCATCTCACTTTGCTTTTTATTTCCATTTCCTTGACTAGTGATACTGAGTATTTTTCACCTTTATATTAGTTATTTATCTTCACATATATGTGATGTAGGGACATGTTTATATGGCTGTATGCTTATAGGTGCATGTTTGTGTATGCATGTGGAGGCCTGAAGCCAATACTAGGTATCCTCTTCCATTGCTTTCCACCTTATTTTTTGAGACACGGTCTCAGTGAACCTGTAGCTTATTGATTTGGCTAGCCTGGCTGACCAGTGAGCTGCCAGGATCCACCTGTCTCTGCCTTTCCTGTAGTGGAGTACAAGCACGTAGTGCCACATCCAACTTTGACCTGTGTTCTGGGGATCTGAACTTGTCCTGCTTTCATAGCAAGCACTTTACAGTTGAAGCCGTCCCCTTGGCTCCACATTAAAAAAAAAAACATTTTATTATTTTTATCTTATGTGTATGTATGTATTGCCTGCATGTAGTAAGTGTACCCATGTCATGCAATGCCTGAGGAGGACAGACGAGACTGTCAGATCCCCTGGAACTGGAGTTATGGACAGTTGTTAGCTGCCATGTGGGTGCTGGGATACAAACCCAGGTCTTCTGCAAGAACAACCAGTGTTCTTAACTGCTGAGCCATCTCTCAAGCCCCGGCTCCACATTTTTATCTTTCTTGCAACGATGGCTTTTCAGATCTATTGCCTGTTTAAGATTTATTTACTTGTATGTATCTCTCAGTGTATGTGCACCTGTATATATGGAAACCAGAACAACGACATCAGGTGTTCCTCTATCACGCTCCACCTACTCCTTCAAGGCCTGAGCCGGAGCTTGCATTTTCTCTCCTAGATTAAAAACCAGCAAGCCTCAGCAATCCTCCTGTCTCCACCTCTGCAGACATGTGCTGGGATGGCAGGCTTATTAAGCATGGGTGCTGAGAACTGAACTCCTGTCCTCATGAATTACATAGCAAATGCTCTTAGCAGCTGAGCCATCTGTCCAAGCTCCAGTGTTTGGTTTGTTTGTTTTAGATAGGATTTTATGTGGTCCAGGCTGACTTGAGTTCCTAATCCTCCAGCCTCAGCCTCTAAAATGCTTGGATTATAGGCCTAAGCTACCATACCCAGCATTAGTGTGTGTGTTATTGTTGTTGCTGTTTGTTTACATTTATTTTTTGTGTGACTGTGGGCATGCATACCACAGTGCTTGTATATATAGGTCAGAGGACAGCATGCAGTAGTTGGTTCTGTCTTAACACCACTCAGGTCCTGGGGATCAAACTCAGGTTGTTAAACTTGGTGCCAAATTCCCTCACCTGCTGAGCCATCTCATGACCAGATATTAAATCTGAAAACAGAACACTGTCAGTAAGACTTGGGGTGTGACTCGCTGGGCCAGAGAAGAAAATTGGTTTTGGACATCCAGAAAGAACTTGAGGTCATCCCAAGTCTATTGAGCTAAGTCAGAGAACAAGATATTTATCAGTACATTCATTTACCCATTCAAAGGTCTTTATTCAACACCATATGGAGTGAGTGCCGTGCTCAGCTTCCAGGGATTCAGTGGTGAATGAGACATGTTCCCTTAAGGAAGGCATAACAGGAACTAATATTTATAGTAGAGAATAATGCATGCTGAAATAATGACAGCCAATATCATTATCATGATGATGATGATGATGATGATGATGATGACGGTGATGATGATGATAAGAAAGTGTCTCTCTGGCCTGGAACTCACTATGTAAACCAGGCTGGCCTTGAACTCAGAGATCTTCCTGCCTCTGCCTCCTGAGTGCTGGGATTCAAGGCATGCGCCACCACAGGCTCTCACTTTGTAACCCTGACTGGCCTAGAAGTCTCTATGTAGACCAGGCAGGCTAGCCTTAAACTCAGAAAGACCCACCTGAGTGGGTCTCCTCCACCTCTTGAGTACTGGGATTAAAAGGGGTGTGCTACCATGCCCGGGCAAATGCTTTCTTCCTAGTAAAGCACAAAAGATTTTTAAAAGACTTAATTTCTTGTTCATTTGTATGTATATGTGTTACGCTGTTATGCTTTTTTTTCTAAGAGTCTTACAGGTTTTGCTCTTTAGATTTCATTCCATTTTGAGTTCCTTTTTATGTCCAGTGTGAGGTGTAGGCCTAATCTCATTCTTTTGCATATGGATGTTCAGCTTTCCCAGCACCATTTGTTGAAAAAACTGTTCCTCCTATTGAAATGGTCTTGGCACATTCAAACATAGATGGATAAGTTTATTTCTAGACTCTCAAGTCTCTCCTGTTAATTCATGTATCTCTTAAACCAGTATCACACTATCACTTGACTACTGTTGCTTTGTAAATTTTGAAATCAAGTAGTGTGAATATGATTTAATTTGGGGTTTTGCTTTGTTTTTGTGTTTTGAGACAGGGTCTCCCTATAGCCCCAGCTGGCCTGGAACTTGACCAGACTTGGCCTTGGTCTCAGAGAGATCTGCCTGCCTCTGTCTCCTGAGTGCTGAGATTAAAAACCGTGTACTACCATGCCTAGCTTATTTTTACTTTTAATGTATTTTACCTACATCTGAAATGTTGACTAGCATAAATGAAAAATATTCTCAAAGTGCAAAGTGGTATCACAGTACTTCTCAACAGCAGGATGTAACTATTATCAGTACAAAAGTATTGTGTCATCAGTTGGTGGCAAGTATAGTGATGGGAAATCTTGCCATCAGTGATGTCTTGTTAATGAAGCAGGTGGATTTGCAGGACAGGTAAATCCTAGAAAAATATAGAAGGGGAAGTCAGAAGTTTATGATGATAGACAATGAACTCTTCTATGCGTAAGGGGAAGTTGAAGATAGGATGTGTGAATGGTGGTGACTTGGTGGATGGGGAGTGAGTAAAGCATTCATCATATGAGATCCTTAAGATGTACGCGATGGACCAGTCCCTAATGGGGGTGGTCAGAATGGGCAGCTTAAGGCTGGCTGTGCAGAGGGCACTGTGGCCTTGTCCTAGTGGAGCAAGCGATGATAGATAGAAGTGGGTTCGGGAACTGAGAGTCCAGCAGTCATGCATGTGGACAGCACAAAAGAAAGAGCACCTGGCAGGCACTGGGTAAGTGGAGGACCGCGTCAAGGAGGGTAGGGTCTGCCACAGCACAAACCTCAGGAGTAACAGTTCTTAGTTGGATTATTTTGGTGGCAGTAGTGGGGAGTAGGGTAGACTCTGGCCTGGAGGGAAGTGCACAAACCCCTTACCTGACAGCTTTGCAGGGATGCCAAGTTCCATTTAAGGCCATGTGCAGGCAAGAGGTCTGTAGATCACAACTATGCAGCTGGGATGTGGAGCTTGCAGAGGGGAGTGAATCAGGGGATATATTCAGGGCAGAGTAGGAACAACCGGAATCTAGGCAGGAAAAGGTGACAGGAATCTGAGGTATAGGGAGCTAGGTGTGCATTCTGGAAGGGGCACATGGAGCCCAGGGTTGGTTTAACTCTGCTACATTGTTTTCTTACGTGGCAAAATGTTCGGTATAATTTGTTGGTATTACAAACATAGTAGCTATAGTTAGGGTTTTTTTACTTACATGATAATTTATGGATTATATAGATAATATTTACTTATCTTAAATCATTTACAATATTTACTCATCTTAAATCATTTACCCAAGTTATTGTCATTTGCTATTTCTTTGCTACTTATAACTTTTTAACTTTGTGTGTGTGTGTGTTTTCGTGTGCCACTATGCTGAGTAGAGGCCAGAGGACAACTTCTGGGAGTCAGTTCTCTCCTTTCACCATGTGGGTCCTAGGGTATCAAATTCTGGTCTGCAGGCACCCACTGAGCTATCTCACCAACCCTGCTTCTTACAACTTTAAAAAATATAGTGTAAAATACAGAAAGATAAGGGCTTAATGGCATCCCCTTTTATTGAGACATTGTGTTACTGTGTGCCCCAAGCTGCCTTCCACCTTGCAATCTTTATACCCCCCTCCCCGAAGTGCTAGAATGACAGGTGTGTGGTGCCATGCCCAATTTTAAGGCTTAATTTTGTTAGAAGACCAGTGACATTGACTCAACAAGTGGCTATCATTTTCTTTTTGTCAAGGTCCGAGACTTATTTGCTCTTGCTCGGAAGAATGCCCCTTGTATTCTCTTCATTGATGAGATCGATGCTGTGGGAAGGAAGAGAGGCCGAGGCAACTTTGGGGGGCAGAGTGAGCAGGAGAACACACTCAATCAGCTGCTTGTGGAGATGGACGGTGAGCAGTCAAACCCTCCTCGCTAAACTGCACTTTCTGATTGTCTCATATCTCTAAAATGAGAGTTTTTATTGAGATACCAATCTTAACAAGTAAAAGAACATTCTCTGAAACGAACTACCTTCTAAAAATGTTCTTTTATGGGCCTAGGGAGATGGCTCAGTGGTTAAGAGCACTGGCTGCTCCTATAGAGGACCTGAGTTTGAGTCCCAGCCACATAGCGGTGGACCCACAAGTCCAGAATGTGATGCGTATTCTAACCTACAGGCATCCTAGCTGAGCAGCACAGCACACTGTCAAGTGGGTTTTCTTCAGGGCCATGTGGCTGACGGAATGCTGGCTTGCTGCCACTGCTCACCATTGTTAGAGAAAGTCAGGCCAAACTGTTAGTCCAACAAAAGATGCAGATTCAAAAAAATGTGTCCCTTTCACACCATCATAAAGTTGAAAAAATGTAAGCTGGGGACCAGCCGTGCTCTTTAACAGAGCAAAGCAGTCTTTCTGTGCCAGTCGGCTTTTCTTTCATTTAAGAAAGCCAATTCCTAGGATATGCTTCATCCTTTCTGCTTGAAGGTATGGGGATGCATGCCTTTGTATACAGAGTGGGGAAGCTCAGTGCCAGGTATCATGCTGGCTCAGATGATGAAGCCAAGCATCGTATCAGAGTAAGAAAAGTGAGACCTTGACAGTTCACCTGTAGAGGTACAGGCTCAGATTAGAGAACCATGTTGGGGACATCAGCCCATGTACTTTTTCCCTGCCAGGGTTCTGGGTTGAAGGACATTGACATTTGAGAAACAGCTAAGAAAACGCAATCATCTAGGGCTTGGAAATGTGGCTTATTGATTAAGAGCGCATACTGCTCTTGGAGAGGGCTGGAATTTGGTTCCCAGCACTGTTGGGCAGGTCACCACCACCTCTTCCTCCAGCTCCAGGGGATCCAATCTCTCTGACTTCCAAGGGCACCTGGGGTCACATGCACATACCCCTATACATACATACACATAAAAAAACAATAAAATCCTTTAAAAAAGAAAAAAGTGTGGTGGCACATGCCTATAATCCTAGGACTCAGGAGGCAGAGCCAGGAAAATCACAAGCCTGAGGTTAGCCTAGTCTACATAGTAAGTTACAGTCCAGTCTGGAGTACTGAGTGAGACCCTATCTCATAAAATGAAAAAAGTAAAAATTAAAAATAAGAATTGATTCTTAAAACTCCCAGGTTTAGAGGAAGAGAGTAGAAAGAGAAGGAGCAGGGTGCTGGTGCAGTTAAGGAGGGATTTCTAATCTCTGTAACCCAGCAGAGTAACTACAGTTGACAGCAATTCGTGGTTTATTTTGACATAGCTGGGCGTGGCAGTGCAGGCCCTTACTCCCAGCACTTGGGAGGCAGAGGCAGAGGCAGGTGGATCTCTGTGAGTTCAAGGCCAGCCTCGTCTCCATAGCAAATCCAGGCCAGCTGCAGCTATAGGGACACCCTGTCTCAAAAAGACCAAAAAAAATTATGTCTAATACACGTATGGCTTTGTGCTGCTCCTATGTTAACTCCATTTTTATTACCAACATTTTAGGCTTCAACACAACCACCAATGTGGTCATCTTGGCAGGCACCAATCGGCCAGACATCCTAGATCCAGCTCTGCTGCGGCCAGGCCGCTTCGACAGGCAGATTTTTATTGGTGAGATGGTATTCACTGGGCTTGGTTCAGTTTCTTGGTAGAGGTGTGTCTTACTGACTTTTTTTTTTTTTTTACCATTTAAAAATATTTTGTAAAGGACCACCAGACATAAAAGGGAGAGCTTCAATCTTCAAAGTTCACCTTCGGCCACTGAAACTAGATAGTGCCTTGGAAAAGGAGAAACTGGCCAGAAAACTGGCATCTTTAACCCCAGGGTTTTCAGGTGAGTAGAAATTACTGCTGTTCTCTAAGTATTTGTCAATTATGAACAGGCATCAGGTCCCAGTTCACTGTGATTGCTCTCATCTGGGGGCTTCCCGAATAGTTTGTACCTTTTAATTATGGGAAACTTCAGTTATGTACATGATTAGAGGATGCAGTAGTGTTCCTCAGCATGCAGTACCAACCTAGAGAATGAGCAAGGGACCCATGCACATCCGGCCAACTCCTCATCTGGACCCCACCCTCGCCTCTCTAGTTGATTATGACCAGTTCCAGGTAGCATATCATTTTATTGATCTTTTATGAATTATTCCCGAGTAATTTTTGGAAGTTGCGGCATGCTATCTACATCAGTAATTCTTACCTGTCTTAAGTGTTAAGTACAACTGTTTTTAGTGTGTTTAAGTAACATTGTAACCATCGCTGCAGTTTGGCTTTGAAACATTTTGTTACCCTCAGAAGAATCTGTCAGCAGCCCTTTCTTCCACCCACCCCAAGTCTTGGCAACTCTTAGTCTATGTTGTCTTTATAATAGTCTACTTTTCTATTCTGGACATTTTATTTTATGTAAATGGATTATGCAGCGTGTTTCCTGGCTTATGTTCACTTATCTGTTTGTAGGATTCATCCATATACTACCAGGGAGCAGAAGTTCATTTGCTTTTTTGGTTATGCATTATCTGGTGTGTGGATATTACACATCTTACCCATTCTTCATTGGATTGTATTTGAATGATTTCTACCTTGTGATTATTAGGAATAATGCTCCTCCAAATATTCATCCACAGATTTTTGTGTTGTATTTATTTCTCTTGATTATGTACCTAGAATTGCTTGGTCATGTAAGTATGTGTGACTTTCTGAGGAGCTATGACTGTTTTCTAAAGTAACTGTATCATCTTAACGTCCCACAAAGCAAGAATTAATAAAGAAGAATCAAAACAACTTCTCATATTCTATCAGATCACAGTGGAATAAAACTAGAAATCAGGCTAGAGAGATGGCTCAGTGGTTAAGAGCACTGGCTGCTCTTGCATAGGACCCAGGTTCAATTCCCAGCACCCACATGGTAGCTAACAACTGTCTATAACTCCAGTTCCAGGGAATCCGATGCCCTCTTCTGTCCCCTGTGGGCACTGCACAACACAGGTGCACTTACACACATGCAGGTAATACACTCATACACATACAATTTTTAAATAATAAATAATTTTTTTAAAACTAGAAATCAAGCTGGGCATGGTGACGCATGCCTTTAATCCCAGCACTCGGGGGGCAGAGGCAGGCAGGATCTCTGTGAGTTCGAGGCCAGCCCGGGCTACAGGGAGACCCTGTCTCAAAAAGACCAAAAAAAAAAAAAAAAAAAAAAAAAAAACTAGAAATCAATGGCAAAGAAACTATAGAAACAACACAAACACTTGGAGACTAGACAATAAACACTTGAATGACCAATGAGTTACTGAAGAAATCCCAGAGGTAATTTTAAAGTTCCTAGAAGGAAATAAAAATTAAATCACCACTTACCAGAACCTTTGGGATATAGTTAAAGAAGATCTTAGAGGACAGCTTGATTAGTCCTGCATGCTTACATCAGCTGGGCTTGGTGGCACATGCCTTTAACCATCAGAGGCAGGAGGATCTCTGTGAGTTCAAGGCCAGCCTGGTCTACATAGCAAGTTCCATGCCAGTGCTCTTAACTGCTGCGCCATCATCTCTCCAGCCCCTTTAATGCTTATGTTTATTATATTGTATATAAGCATGTTGCCTAATACTCCCATAAGTGGTTTTCCCAGCAAGGATGGTGGAACTAAGAAAATGATGTACATTTAAAAATGAGGTCATGGTTTACTGTTACATGAACCATATCTGTTAAAGTAAATAGTTGTCTGTAACTATCTGTTTACTACTAATTTCTTCTCATCTTAGTTTAGAGGGCCAAGATTATATACGCTTGTGTTTAATGCTAGCACTATGTTGTCCTGCATATCTGGGACTTATAATCCCTTGAACTCTTAAAGAAATGTACTGATGACTTTAGTCTTTGGTTATACTTTCCTTTTAGGTGTTTAATACCATACACTTGGCCCAAATAAATCAATTTATTTTTACACTTAAGGTCATTTGCGGCTCTGTTCCTCAGGGGTCACATGGGCTTGGGAGGGGCTCCTGGCTCCTTTCTTTTACCAGTTCCATCTATGTGAAAATAAGT